TGATATATCCACTTTTCAGTTGAAAGTACCACTAAACAGAAACTCAGCCAAGAAGTCTATTCTACTTTGACTTCTGATCACTCCATCCTGACAGAAGTCAGTTCCCATTTTTCCCCAAGCAGAAGAATTTTGGTGGTATGTGCAACAATTTTTTTTCTGAACTCAGAACCAGATTAAAGTAAAACAGGGGAAGAAAATGCTTTGAAGAAACACAAACATTTTAAACAAAAACAATCATTTTTCTAAATGGTTTTATTTACATTTTTCATATACAAGTACGTCAAATGATACATTCTGACTAGTATCCACACCAGTGTGAATTACATGAATTAAAGATACTGATGTATTGCATATGATGAAATGCAAAACAATCAACCCTAAGCTTTGGTCCCACCCTCTGAATCCTCATACAGCAGCTGGTTTGTTACTGAGACATCTAAAATTCAAAGTGTTCATATCAAATAGAAGTTATCTGAACAAATATATCTAGTTTCATTTCTTTAGAACAAGCAGTAACACTGGAGTCTTACTTGCAAAATTCGCAAAATGAAAAATACATGAAGAGCCAAACACTTTACACACGTTACTAGCTTTGTATTTATTGTTTCTAAACTTGGGGTATTTGTCACAACTGTCTTGTGCTTATGATTTTTAAATCTTTAATTATGGCAACCTTTCAACCCCTACTAACAACAGTTCAAAGTGACCAGGATATAATGCAATATACTCAACAATGAAAAAGGTAAAAAGGTGTGGTGTGAATTGGCCTGAAACATTCAGGAGAATTACAGATTAAAGTTTCCACTTAGAGTAGCTGGAACTAAAAATTCTTCAGATCATTAAAAGAAGTTGCAAATACATGAACATAGTTTAATAAATGTGCTTAAGAGGATTTTCAACCTGGTGATTTCTCAAATGAAACTAGCAGATAAGAAGGTGACAACTTCAAATGCTTGCTTTGGAACTACTGAAATACTTACAACACTGGTAAAGTAAAAGTTCTTTCAAGTGCATGAAAAGCATTCTCAAGTCTTTCTGTATCTAAAAGAGGGTTCAAACAGTCAAAGAGACAAAGGAAATAGTAATAGACAGCTGGGCCTATGGGATCATAGAGTGTATCACATCAGAATTTATTTTTACATTTCTGTAGCACCTTTTAGCCAGATGCTAAGAGCACTTTAATCACTAAAGTGAGCCTCACAACAACCCTGTGAGGTAGGTAGGTATCTGTTTTAATAACGGCAAAACAGGTTAAATAACTTACCCAAGACGACCCAGCAAATCAGCAGAGCAGGCTAGAATCCCGATCACCTGATCTATGAATTTTACATCGTGGCACATGTGGGACTGAGGCTTACATGCTCCTTTTTAAAACTGTGCAAGAATCACTGACATGTGAATCAATTCAAGTTTTCTGGAAGCAGACTTTTACAGGAAAGGTATCAAGAGAAAAATGTGCTTTAAGCAACTAGAGAAAACAAGAGTCTGAGGTAAGAAGAGGGGCATTACTGTACCACTTCCTAAATTTTAGTAGATGCAGGATAGCAAGTTAACTATTTTACTTGCTGAAATATGCATCAAAAATAGGCTACGCAGTCAAATTCACTAAACAAAACTCTATTCTCACAAGTCTTAAGCAGTCAAATGCTATGACCCAAAAACGTTGTGAGCTGGGAGTTGTTTCATCCAATTCTATTATTTCTCTGTCCTGCAACTGCTGCTTTGAATGTCAGAAGAAATAAGAACCAGTGTGAGAATCAAAATTTTTTGACCAATTCAAACTTTAATAGTAGAGTTCCCATTAACAAACTGTCAAAGCATGCTCTTCCCAGTTAATCTCCATGTTCTACTGACTACCAAACCCATGATAATAGAGAAATCAGAGCATATAAATTGGTGCTTCGCATATAAAATAGAAACGTGAAGTATTCAGTTACTTCAGCACAGTCTGTATATCAATAGCAGTAAGTCAGATGATACACTAAGCGCTCAGCACTGCTTTACACTATATTCCACTGGGGCACAGAGTCATACATAAAAAGAAAAACAAGAGTCAGTGAGCTGAACAAACACTGTCATAAAAACAAGGGGTAATCATCTCAGCAGTAAGGCCTGCACTTAAGTTTTACATTACAAAATGAACCGGCATATGCAAGGAAACTTTTTCTTCATGTAGATTATAAACATGATTTCTACTTGAAGATTGGAAGTTACTAAAAAGAACACATTCCTCAAGTTCAGCAAAGGGAAATTTAAAGATTTCTGACAATTTTATAAAGAATACAGCTGTTAAAGGGTTAATTCCTTTTTTGTAAGGCCATAATCATAACCCTCACCCTAGCTCATCTTCCAATAATAGACCACCACTATGTAATGATACTCAGCTCAGATTTATGTCGTTCAGAGGACAAAATTCTCTAGTGAAAGACAACCTACCAGAAAACAACCCCACTTTCCTCTCCCTTTCTGTCTTTCTGTGATGCAAAGAGGAAACATTATCATGTTGAAGAGGAAAGTGATATGCTTGTTTTGACATCAGGAAAAACAGAGTTTACAGACGAGTGAAGATTTAGCAATTTTCAGATCTAAATAATGAGGCCGTGAAAGTGAATCAAAAGCAATGCTAAGATTCACCACAGGTTTACTTTCCCAACTCAAGGCTGGAAAGACCTATACTTCTGAACTATCCCAAGAGAAACTTTCTAGCAGGAGGAGACTACTAGGATTTCCAAGGAAAAAAGCTTTTGGAAAATACATTCCCTACATTCCTTGTACATCTTAAGGCTGCAATAAAAGAAGCCTCAAGACAGTTCCTCTACCTCAGGTATCCTTCAAAAATTAACTGAAGTCTTAATTTATATTCAACCATGCCGTTAAAAGAACACTTGAGAAAACATTTCATTTTTAATTTACTCTCAGATGGGACTGTACATATGCAACTTAAAACAACACTGACAACAGTGCACAATTGTGTGAATATATGTATTTTGAGAGAGGAATTTGGAAAGAAGTTATTTCAGCTTATTGCTATTAATGATTACATATACTGAAAAAAGGCAGTGATAAGCATGTCGCTTTTTAGTTAAATTAGTCACTACATGAGTTTTGAGAGGTGTTACTGGAACTAGGAAAGAAAAGTTGAAAATTTAAGTCTAACTAGGATTTTAGAAATTTGCCTGTTAAGATGAAAGATGAATTTCTAAGATGTAACCTCTTGCATTTCTTTCAAATACAGCCCTTTTCAAGTGTAGCCTCTACCAGAACTCTACAGTTCACATTTTTATATTGTTTTGAGTAACAGAATCATATATTCCATTTCTCTTATATTTGAAGTGCAGTTACAGGCAGACACACATGCACACGCGCGCACACACACACACACGTGAGCAAGTGATCTTTATGCCATTTCTTTCCTTCTCAAATTTACTTTGTGTTACCTGGTTACCATACCTGCAGGGTAGAAGCTGATCTTCCTTCCTTGAAGGAGCGTGTAAAAAATCATACCCTAGACTGTTTTAAGCTTTGCCACTGTTAATGTTTCTAAGTACTACTAGATTATAAATTAGATAAAAGGTATTGATTAAGGGAGGTAATGTCTGTCAATTAATCTCTGAATGTGGTTCAAGACAAGAAGCCTCACAAGAAGCTTTACGCTGATAATAGTACTTTCTGCTGAAAGATCTACAACGTAGTACAGGCTTTCTGAGGTGGTCTTACTCAACTTTAAATTTCAGGCATGGGGAAGATAAAGGTTTTAAATAAGCACAGAAATCAGGTAACTTAATGTAATCATCAAACTAGATTAGATTCTAAAGACTAGATCCTGTAGCAAACATTGCAGGGTGCCAGAGGCTAATGGATTTGGCTGCATGGTTTCAAAAGGAAAAAATAATGCATCTGTATGTGTTAGTGCATTCACAATCTCCCAAATATGTCCAATCACCGACATTCCAACTACTACTACAAACTACTGGAAACAAAACAGTAAAAATTCTACGACATATAATTAGGTAATAATAAATTTAGGTTGCACTATAACATCTTACTATAAACTGCAATATAAAAATTTCTGTTAGACTCCCATGATTCCAATTTTATTTAATAATCTTCAAAATTTACTGCCAGAACACATTTGGATACATAATTTAATGTAAAATAAGATATAACTATACAATGCAGTTTTGCCAATCTACTGCTTAGCAATTTTCACATCAAAAGGAAAAAAATTTAGCTGTCTCATTTCTCATCTACAGAACAAAAGTCCCCATCCCTGTACTTTAGCATGTAGAAGATCTGTCTCAAGAAAAAATGTGCAGCTAGAAGATGCCCACAAAAACCATATGTATTAGTATTAAGTATCAGCTACAAAAAATAAAATAAAAAAATTTCCGATTATACAGTGCATTTCATGGCATGTCATTAAAGATTGTTTAAATGATCAATGCACTTCAGGGGAAGTTTTATATAGTTAAGTAAACAAGCACAATTTTGTTGGGATTTTTAGAAGCTAATGAGTTGTGCTAATACATTTTCCCAGCATTTTAATTCCAGAAATCAACTTCCATCCCACACCCTCCCTGAAAACACTGTTCACAGAAACACTCAATTCCCTAAGAAAGCAAAAAAATTAAAAGATCCAAACATTCCAGAAGGTCATTCAAATAAGTTTGTACATATAAATGAAAAAAAGGTCCTCTAAATAAATGACACAGGAGGCAATAAATTGACACGACAAGTAAATAAAAGGCTAAAGCACTCCAATACCATTGAAACGGTTTTAATGTTGTTGCAATTCCATAATGCAACAATCATCAACTCATAAAAGACCCAATACTGTAAGAATTCATTTTAATCACTCCTTTGCACCTATTTTACAAAATAAAGGCAAAGCATATTTAAAATCCCCTTTTCCCTAGATATTATGTGCCTATCTTATTTATGCTTATGTAAACTTAAATTCCTATTAGATCTTATATAAGAAAAAATTTAAAAATATTAACCTCTGCTTCAATGTACAGTTTCCAGAATCTGCCAGAACTGGGGAACTGGGCAACAAGGCGTTCATAGGTCTTCCGTGCTTTGTCTATAGGTTGATTCTAAAAATTGAAAATCAAAACAGCATTTACAATATTATGATTTATGTAAATGAATATGCTGATTTTACTCCAGAACCAAATAGTGTGAGTGGACCATAGATAAGGAAATGTAATCCTATATCACTAAACCTGTGCCTCTCGAATGAGAATGCTCCAAGCGTCAAGGTCATATGGATTTTCTTCTAATTTCTTTTCAGCTTTCTTCACTTTTTCTGGGACATATTCAGCAGCCTAGAAAAATTAAAAAGAAGACATAAGAGATCACAAGTAGAGTTTGAAAAGTTCTGTCCCAGTTACAAAGTCAAGGTAACAACAACATTCTGACAATGTAAGCTTTCAGATCTCAGTTTTTATGCTGGAGTTACCAAATTGTAATTTTATGTGGAAAACAAGTTGTTCCAGTAAAATAATGCACTCTCTAACAAGTGTTAAAAACAGCGTAGTAACATAGTTACAACAAGTTCTACATATTTGGTGATCCAGCAAAAAGCTAGATTGAACTGTCTAAATGTTCCTAAAACACTAGAACAAATTTGAGTTTCCCAGAGAATTTATTGCACTATGACTTTTAAACAATTTTACAGACCTGAAGTTTTAAGATGCAAAAAGTAAATTCAGACTGATTTTTCTATTGCAGACCCCAGCCAAACAAATCCAGGTTACAAGTCCTTCTGCATATGCAGGACATTAAGTATTTTGTATCACAAGTTACAGATTTAACAAGAAAACTAGGAGATGACAGTTCTAGCAGCAACATATACATGTTATCCAAGCACAATTTGTTAACTTTCTGATCTGTCTATCAGTGTATTCTTACAGTTGCCTTCCTGTAGCTTCAGCACTACCTACCTTAAAATGCCTTTTTTTTTTTTTTTCCAAACACTCAGACATTCATATCGGAGTTTAGAAGCTTTTTTTCATACTAAAAGCTTTACCAAATTGAACGTTAACTTGTTAACACAGTTACTATTATAGTATAGGTTTAAGTGTTCTTTTAAAGACTTGTGGAAATGTCTTTATGATCTACAGAAATTTTTTCTAGATTTAAGTTAGCATAAATGAGATGAAAAAAATTACGATCTGATGTTCACATACAGACAAGCCTTAAAATGCATGCTTGTTACAACCCTAAATGTTACGAAGTTTTTTATTAAGCATGAAATATTGTTCTGACCTGTACTCCAAGCAGCTTATTTACTAACTTTCCAAACTTGACTCATTTTCAGGCAGATGTTAGCCGTCTCAAATCACACGATCAAGTAAATTCTTGCCTTCGTGAGATGTAATGATAATAACCTGTAAATTATTACTACAAGACCTTTCTTGTGAAATTTTACAAGTTAGCTACATAAGTACTGTTAGAATATACAATTTAGTGTGAGTGATTTACTGTACAGAAAATTCTAAAAAAACCCTGTCAATTGCTAAAAGATTATTTCAAGGAAATAATTTTAATTCTTAATATCGGATCTAGGTCAATACACAGCTCTGCAAGATGAAAAAGACAGTAGACAGGACAGAGAGAACTGATACTCCTATCAAAGGTACTATCACACACTTATAAAGGAAAACAGAGGGTAACTAGATACTACAGAGGTATGACTTCCAGCAAAATTCACAAGCATCACTATTATGCATCACTATTGCACATCGCTCCTGAAAGAAAGCAGACATTCCAGGAACACAAATCCAAGGTATTATTAAATTTTACTGGAAGACCACTTACAGTGGCATTATATGAAGATAAGCTGCCAGTGAAGCATTGTACAAAACAGTGACTTAAGAAAATAAAAAGCTGGGGCTAGCAAATGCAGTAAGCCTGAGTTACTTAGGAACATCAACTTTGTTTTCAGGAGTGCCCTGCCCCTTTGCTTTTGTCAACCTCTGCAAATGCACAACTATACAACAGCTGCTTCTGTTATACATTGCAATTCAACTTTATAATTTAAAAAAAGCTACAATTTTTTGAATATTTTTCACCATTGCCAGTTTTTGGTCAGTCCTACTAGCAGGATATAATTCAAGGCATATCCCTTCAAAGATTTTTACATTAAATTTACTTATAAAAAGGACAAATAATCAAAAATGTTGCAGAGCTGTTAAACTGACATGTAATAGCAGCCATACATGAAAGGGGAAAAAATAATCGGTAGGAGTGGCTTTTAGGAGTTTAAAGACCATTATGCTTTTCGATTCAGTTTTCAAGTCATTCTTAACATTAACAGCTCAGTGCAAAGCAGTGTAACTTGGAAGACAAGTATCAAGCCCCACAGCAAACTAAATTATAAAAATAATTTGATTTAAAAAAAATCAAATTAAAAATTAGCATCTCAAAGTTTTCAGCTCAAAAGTAGTAAATTTATACATTTCCATATGAATATTTTTAATCCCTAAACCCATCAAAATTCTGACTCTGTAATACTGCATGTTCTATTTCAGCTGTACAGGCTTAAGAGGCAAAACAGTATGGCAAAACACAGAACTAGTGGTTTTATTTCTTCCAAAATGACACATATAAACATATTTCAGCTTACAGAAGACAGTACTGAAGCTTAAAAGTACTTTAAAGAGTAAAGTTTACTTTAGTAAAGTAAGTTTAAAGACTATTTAAGTTATCTCTACGGATGACCCAAAGTTGAAATGTTGTTTATTCAATAAAGCACTAATTCAAAGTCGCCCACATCAGTGGTAAGCATTGCTTCTCATTATATTCCATCTTAGTGAAATCTACTTGTCACAAATATTCAATGAAGCATATATTATTCTGCCTTCAATTGGACAGAAATGCCTATCAGGAGTACCATTGATGTCAGCTACAAAAAAAAAAACCAAAACAAACCCCACCCTAAAAAAGTACTACTGAAGCATTTGTGGAAGCACAGGGTCCTGCACTGTAAGTGGTGACTTTCAAACAGGAAAAAGTAGAATGGGCCACTGAAGCACACCTCAACTATTTTAGTAGTAGTTCAGTTGTATTATCTCAAACCTCTCCATGTGACACACAAAACTCAGCTGACAGTGCAGTGAAACAGTTAAAGCTTCCAGGAATTTGATTTCACCTATGCAGATATAGGGCAATAAACTCAGAAAGGCTGAAATAAATTAAGATGGTGAAAAAAATAAATGCTGATAAGATGCATAATCATAGCAATCCTACATTAACTTTCCATGCTTGATACAGGACTCCCAATCTGTGTAAGAGGAGTAAGAAAATCCTCATTCTTTTATTGGGGAAAAAAAGACTAACTTCCTAAATTAGCAAGCATTCACTTCAAAGCAGATAAAGTTCTCCATGCAGTTATAGAAGACAAATGACTGGAGCTCTACAGAAATGAAAATAACTATATGATCAGGGTTTTAAACTGGACTGCTTGGAATTACTTATACCTTATGTCATATGTAAGAAAACACCCAACTTAAGGTGCAGTGAGCACCCCTTCTCCTGTCCCCTTCCATCTCCAGGGTGGATAAAAGCCATCCACATTTCAAAGAGGCAAACTGCACTGCAGATGCATTCAGTTAGACATCAAACCTGTGTGGACACCTACTGCAAGCACTCAGTGAAAGGGAACAAGGAGCTTGACTTCTAACTTAGCTCAGTTATAGCCAGAAAGACATTTGATCCCAGTTTTGAAAACTGCATGTTAACTGTACACTGAGCTTAGATCTCCTGTTATCACAGTTCAAGGGTATGTGGCTTCTGATTATGTATTTTTAATTGTAATGCTTGCGCAACAGCCAATATCCAACACTGTGAATACTTAATTCTTGTGTGTTTGTTCACTGCCACAATCCTGCCTGTAGATAAGCATTTTCAGTCCTTCCCTCTGGTTAACAAAGGCACTTGAGTTAATCTCATCCTGTAACAAGCCAGTTCAGGGAGTTAAATCAGCAGAAAAATAATCCTATTAGAAAAGCGATCATCTTTCTAATGTTCAGGGTCAGATGTGATGCAGAATAAAGGATGCAAAACCATACAGGACTTTAGCAGTCCCAACTTAGATCAGCTTAAACTACCATAAAACTGCATCTAATCAGATAGATACTGGCTTTTATCTTTTCTTTACTGCCTAAAAAAAAAAAAGAGCTGCAAAGAATTGTTGCATACAAATTGAAAACTACTTTTTTTCTCTGCTTTTTATAAATGTGTTCAGTATACCTCCCACATAATTGGGCTTCTATCCCACAAACAACCCTCTGAAAGTCACATAATTATTTTAGCACTTATGGTTCCATGTCCACAAGTATCTATATTGCCATCTACTCTGATTCACAGCTTCCCTTTTATTATTTATACACAGATGAACAGCAATGGATTTTTAGTTTCACAGATACTAAGAGTGTAAAAAACTCTTTATGACTACAGTTTCCAAAATCTGAAGAAACTTAAAACCAAAGTATCCCACAAGAAGTCTAGGAGCCCCTTCCTGCAAAATACATCAACTGCATGAAATCCAAATTCAAATTCATAAAGGATGTCGGAGGGAACAAGAACAGAAGAATCAAAGTTGACTTTTAGTATTTACTAGAAGTTATTTACCAATCACCTTCAAGGAAAAAATCTTGGCTTATACCTTAGTGCTAAATGCAATAGTTAACAGTTTCTCCAGGCCTCTGAGAATGAATCCTCATGACTCCAAAGTGTGTAAGAAAATACCTAGCCAAACACCTCTTTCAACTATTTGCAGCACCTAATGCATCCAATTGCTTAAAGCATCCTCCTGTTTCCAAAAAAGGATCTTCTGTAGTGAAAAGGAAATGTATTTGAACAGCTGGTTCACCTGTGAAGCGATCAGTTTAACATGCTTTAAAAACTACCACTAATTATGAAATAAGAACTTCTACAAAAGTTACAAGATGTATAGGCCGTTGTACACAAAAAGGCAGGAATTTTAATGGCTAGTTCAGTCAAATTGGTTCAACATCCAAACGGAGTTTTATGTCCATTAAGATAGAAGCTACTGTTCAGAGGTTTTGGCTGGCTGTTGCACAGTTTAACATAGACCAGACTATAACAGACCCAATGAATATAATTTCAAATATATTAACTTCCAACTTAACAAGCATTGTTAATTGTCCAGTTAGGTTAATTTACATTTTTGTCTAGCCCAAATTTTTTTCCTTGAACTTTAGCTATAGCTGTATGCACACAGAACAAATTTTAAAATCCTTTCAGTAACCTACCCCTTCACTACACTATAGTTGCACCTTATGAATCCTTGCACTTTCTTAAATCTGTTTTTAATGCCTTGCCTTCTTCTATTTTATCGCTAAATCAATTCAAGTGTGAACACAATCTTGAAAAAATTGTTGTCCTTTAAAATTAGGCCACTATTAACAGACATAACCCAACATATTCATCTTAGATAATTTAATAAGGATACTGCCCCCCACCCAACATAGTCTAGGCTGGTTTAAATCTCTGAACAAATCAAGAGTTTTAGATTAGTAATGATTACCATTCTTTCCTTATAAGACTATTTCACAAACAGCAGCATTTTAGACAGACACATTTTCCACTTCAACTTCTCCTTGGTATACCTGGAACTTACTGACCCCGGAAATGCAGATGAATAAGAGGAAGGAGTAGGAAGGGACAAAAGTACCAGTAAGAAACTGGGTAGACTGCTTTAGAGACATTTTCTATAGTCACAAAGACAATACAGACATCTTTTTTTCCACAGCTCAGTCTTGGACCAGATTCATATTCATGTAAAGTAACATGTGTCATAGACTGGGGTACATATCTTGGAAACTGTTACAGGAAACATGAAATGCATGTTCTAGCCTTAAAAGATGAGAAGGCAACTAATGGAGGGGTAAGGCAAATATTGCATCAAGTCTTTAAATAAAATTGATGCCTGGCAAGTATTATTTATTAAGTGAATAAGAATAGTGGTTCTGCCATGGTAGGAAGAGGCTGAGAGCACAACTAATTTAGGTCTTGTTAGAGGGTGCATGAAACAACCACCACACAACTGAAATGAAACTAGATGTGTACCTTAAGGTCCAGAAAAATTTAAAGACATACATGGGTGCAAGCATGTACTCTCTTTAACCTCGACACATGAAGAGATTGGGAGGAGCTTGCCAGGGAATTTTCTGGCAAACAGTGGCAGGTGCAGCCTTTCAGTCTACAAATTTATATTTCTAAGATACAGACAGGGCTAAGTCTTTGGTATTTGAAAAACCAACCTTGGAAATTCTGGTTTGTTAAACATCATGTAGATGTTGCCAGGAGTCTGGCAGGGACCTAACATTTTAATGCTGACATCATTTAACTGGTTCTGTAGATATTAATTTGGGTCCAGTATAGTTAACACAGTGCAATCATTTAAAATATACTGCAATAGTGGTGGCTACATCGTATTTTTTTGCTCCCTTGCCCCAGTCTGTTCTACAACGATGCAAGGAGGAGACAATCTACATAATGTAAGTTAGGCTCCCGATCTACGCAGTAAAGCAGCCTAACAATGCCTGGAGCTAAACTCAGCCTAAAGACAGTAAAGCCACATTTCAATTGCACTGCACCTGGTAGAATAAAGCCTCCTAAACTCCAGCAGGATCTTTAACCTTACAATACCTTTACTCTCCCACACTCCCTACATCCAACATTCTACACTTTGTTCTTCCTTCCCACACTACCGCCACTTTGTGATTGCTGGAGACAGCATGACAATTTGTTATTCACCTGGCTGCTTTTGGAAGCCCCCTCCAAACCCTAAGATCTGGGATGCAAGATGCAGACACCTCTGCATGTCACTGAGTCAGAGCTAACAATGCTGATTTGTCAAAGATCTTCATCATCTGCATCATACACTGTCATGTGTACATCTTATGCACAACGTAGATGGAAATGAAGTACAGTCACCCCCTTATATTGATCTAACTATGTGACTGTGAATGAAAAAAACTTATTTTTCACCCAAAAACTCAGAAGCTAGTTGTGGAAGCAGATGAAACCTGAAACAGGAAAGCCAGACACAATCCAATCTCTGCCTAGCTCCAGCTTCCTACAGAAAGGAACATTTAAAACCGTAAGAATATCATGCATGTAAAGTCAGAGCGCCCTTCAGATAGCACTAGGTTACATTATAGAGCAGCTGTAGGGTAGGGAAGGGAACAAGGCACAACTGCCCCAGTCACAATGTTTTGTTGTTCCTCCTTCCACAGAGACAGTGAATTTAGGTCTATCATGCTCTGGAAGACCTGCTGACTGGCAGGCACACCTGCCTCACTACAGAACTGGACAAGTGGTAGCCTAGGGTGCAGAAAACTTCATGGTAGTATTGCTAAAGACGCTGATCTCAAATAATGGCCTGGTTTGACAGTAGGAGTAAGAAACAGAAGTCTGCCAGGGTAAGGAAAAAAAACAGTAGAAGACAACTTAGTGAAACTGAAGAAAATTGATGGAAGGCAGATAACCAACCATACCAAAATTAGAGACTTCTAGGAAACCAGAATCCAGAACCCTTCATAAGGAGGATGGAGTAGGAAAAAAATTAAATTTGACCCAACCTGCAAAAGAGTTGGGGTTAAAGTGCACCCAACATGAAAACAGTAAGCATAATAGGTAAAAAGGATGAACCTTAATATGGATCAAAAATACAAAATCCAAGCCATGTTAAACCACATGCTTTACATAGACTGCAAATAATGATTTGCAATTTTTTAATGCCAAAACCCTCTGTGATACGGGATCACAATACTAAAGCTGTTACTTCCCAGACAGTAATTCAACCTTTTGCATATTAAATTCTCCCTTGCAAAAGAAAATAAAACCTTAAGTCAGCATTATTTTTCTTTAAGTTAAATAGTAACATATTACAAGCTACAGAAACATACTACTTTAACCAGCAGTTTAATTATGCAATTAAACTTCAATGAATTTTTTTAAAAAAATACACTGAAGGGGGTGAGCTTAAATGTGAAACATATTACACACCAGGATCATAAAAATTTTACTGTAGCACATTCTTACTTCTTTGTAGCCATCCACCTCGTGATGAAGTAAACTATTCTGAAGAACTTCTTGCTTAAACATACTACAAGTATACTTATTAACCTGACCAGCTTTGACCATACAGGCTGGTAATTCATAGGATATTTTCCTAATGAGACAGAAACTGGGTATTTTACATTCTGAGCACTTGTCTTTCCTAACCCCCCAGAACTGATGTTCTTACAAAGAGTTTACATGCCATCCTTTCAGAGTACAGGCCCAGACATATAGAAACATAACCTGTTTTGTAAAGAGACTGACATTCTACAAAGAAAAGCTTCTTAAGGGAGCACGAAGTCATTAGCTTAATTTTCAGTATTTTTGTAGGCTACATTTACCACTAAGGCATGCCACAGTGTTATCAATCACTTCTCCCTTACTCAGGAACTTTCACCCACACCCCTCAAATTAATACGGATTTTAAACACAGCCCTAACTATTAAAAAGACCTGTTTAGAGAAATTCTGCTAGTAAGTAGGAGGTAGTTCATGGTAACGTCAGGTTTAAAAATATGACATACAACACTCGGATTGCACCTGTCTAAAAAATAAGTTATGGCAAATACATATTTTAGTATATTTTAAAAAGCCAAAATCAACTGAAATAGTAGTTATTTCCTCTTATTCTGGAGGAAAAGGATATCGATAAAGAGGCGCACAGCCTTATATGTTAAGCACATAGATTCAGCAAACGCTCACTTTACAAAACGCTGCAAATGTGTCAGTGCAAAAAGCTTATCTAGGTTTCAATTTTCTTCCGGAGTACTTGTACTCAATAACCACGAATCAATGAGACCGGGAAAGCAAGGCTCACTGGAGTGCCTATTGTGCACCTCCACCAGAATTACAGTTTGCTTACCAGAAACGCAAAGACTGAGAGAGACATAGTTTTCGGAGCATTACCGGTTTTAGCGAGCGCGGACGCTGGGAGCGGCTCCCCGCTCCCTTGCCCCAGCGCAACGCTTCGCTGACGGAATAAACGAGAGTTCCTCAAAATGGGTGTGTGCGGTGGGGGAGGGGAGCCCTTCACCGACCGCGCCACTGAGGAGACCGGTAGGGCTTAACGGCCGTGGGGAAAAGGCAAAGGCCACACTCCC